ACCATAATTTTTAAATTGTGTATTTTTACAATAAAAATATTTTTAAAACAATCAAGTGTTGGTGAGGATGTGGTGCAGCTGGATCTCTCAGACACTGCTGGTGGGATTGGGAATTGGAAAAAGCTGGGCACACAAGCCAGCAATTCCACTCCAGGGGCATACCCAACAGAAATGCACACCACTGCTCTTGAAGTGTGTTCAAGGATGTCACCAGCGGCGCTAGTTGTGATGGCTGAAAAACCGGAACCGCCCAAGTTCCCATCAACAGGTCAATAGGTTGCAGGTTATTCATGCAATGCAAGAAGCAAATAAAACTCCACACAATGTGTGCGAATCCTACAAGCATTATATTGAGTAAAAAAACTCAGATATAAATGTCCATCTTCTGGCACACACGAACATCATGGGACATGAGGTATGGAGTGACCTTGCATGCTCCTTCAAAGTAGGAGTGAACAGTCCTGTTGGGGGTGTTTATGTGAGGCTACTAGAATAAATTTTGGAGATTTAAAAAATAATATCACAAGTTTCCAGTTATAAAAATAGTCATGGGGCCCTAGTCAGTTTAGCTCAGTGAATAGAGCTTTGGCCTGAAGGGTCCCAGGTTCAATTCTGGTCAAGGGCACATGCTCAGGTTATAGGCTCGATTCCCAATAGGGGGTGTGCAGAAGGCAGCCGATCCATGGCTCTCTCTCTCTCATTATTGATGTTTCTAACTCTCTGTCCCTCACCTTTTCTCTCTGAAATCAATAAAAAAAATATTTTAAAAAATAGTCATGGGGCCGAAGCCGGTTTGGCTCAGTGGTAGATTGTTGGTCTGCGGACTGAAAGGACCCGGATTTGATTCCGGTCAAGGGCATATACCTTGGTTGTGAGCACATCCTGGTAGGGGGTGTGCAAGAGGCAGCTGGTCGATGTTTCTCTCATTGACGTTTCTAGGTCTCTATCTCTCTCCCTTCCTCTCTGTAAAAAATCAATAAAATATATTTAAAAAAAATAGTCATGGGGCTGTAAAGTACAGCAAGGGGAATATAGTCAATAATATTGTAATAACTATGAATGGTGCTAGGTGATCACTAGACTTATCAGGGGGGTCACTTCATAAATTATATAAATGTTTAACCACTATGCTATACACCTGAAACTCACATAATATTGTATGTCAACTGTGATTGAAAAATAAATTGTAAAACAGTACTAGAATGGAGAAAGTCATAGGCATGAAGGAAAATTCTGATATGTTCGACCAGTGGTTTACCAGTAAATGTTTAACAACCAGATCGTTGGGTATAGAGTAGGGGTGTCGAACTCAATCAGAGAAGGGGCCAAAATCTAAAATCCAGCCTAAATCGCTAGCCGAATGGTTTACTGAACAGTCATAAACTGTCATTGTGATGGAAACGCAGCGGAGTGCAGTGATGACAGCGCGGTGCGGGCCACATTGCAAGGCCTGGCAGGACGGATTTGGCCCGTGGGCCTTGTGTTTGACACATGTGGTATAGAGAGTCCTGATTTGTGATGTTTTCCAATTTCCTTGGTGTAAATCTTGCCATCTTGTCCAACTCCAAGCACCCAATTTGAAGTCACTGAATCTGGAGTTGGGAAAAGAAGGGCACCATTGGCTCCTGCCAACAAGAGAGAGCCAGCTTCAATACACAACTGTACACAACATAATAAGAAATGTTTTTGCCTAGCAAAAATCACCATATGCTAAGTCAAAAGGCCATCAATACAATTTTTCAACTAATACTCAGCTGATTTCCTTAATATGACAGGAGTGTCTTTAAATCATTAAGAAATCCATAAGGAAATACAATGGTCCTTAAAAATAACTCAACCTAGTTATCTTTAACCTAGTCACAAAATGACAGGACACATTAAAATGATAGTGAGTTCACTTAGGATATCACCAAGGATGGAAATGTTTATCGGAGAAATAAGCACATTGCAGGGGTATAAACAGAACACCACCTAGGATTTGCCAATATCTGTAGAAATTATAAATATACCCTTTGATATAGGACTTGCTTCTCTAGAAAATTATTTTCCATACACACACACACATACACACACACACACACACACACGAGTAATGGATGTTCATACCAGTAATTCGTTACAGTATAATTTGTCTTAATTGAAGACAGAAAGTACCATAGTTTTCCACCAACAGGGACCAAGTACTTCATAGAATAATATACTTCCAATTGGAAGACCATGGAGTCGGCAGTAAGAACAGAGGATGTTTCCTATCTACTGATCCATCCAGAAAGTCCTCCAAGGAGGGCTTAGTTCATAGTCATGCACCAATGTAACTTCCTTCACTGCGACAAACACGTCGTGATGATGGAAGGCTTTAGTGATGAGGGGAGCTGAGTGAGGGATGTATGGGGCTGTGGGAGCTCTGAGGTGGGGGTGAGTGTGTGCCTGGAGGACAGAACAGATGAGCTGGGATGTGGAAGACTAATCTTTGAAGGCAAGAATGTGCAACTCTCTGGGGTACTGTGAACTTGCCTTGCACACAGTCGCTGCACAGTAGTGATGAATAGGTGCCGAATGACAGGCTTTGCAGATCTCCATAGAAGCCAACGCACAAATCACAGGATTTTGTGTAAAGTTTTGCTTTAATTTTTGGTAAAAAAAATGACATAGCCGAAACCGGTTTGGCTCAGTGGATAGAGCGTCAGCCTTCGGACTGAAAGGTCCCAGGTTCAATTCCGGTCAAGGGCATGTACCTTGGTTGTGGGCACATCCCCAGTAGGGGGTGTGCAGGAGGCAGCTGATCGATGTTTCTCTCATTGATGTTTCTAGCTCTCTATCCCTCCCCCTTCCTCTCTGTAAAATATCAATAAAATATATTTTTTTAAAAAAGAAAGAAAATGACATATATCTGCTTTTCTTCTCCCTATATCTGCTCACTCACAACCAGAAGGAATAATAGTTCAGAAGGCCAGAAGTGAGAGGTGAACAAAAGTTTGTGTTTCTCTGTAGAGACAGGGCCAGCTCAGCAAAGTGCTTCCCTAATGTGCAGAGGTGGGTTGGGGGTGAGAAGGAAGGTTGGAGTATCCCTGTGTCTGGCCCTTTCTTTCTGGATCTGGTATCCAAGACCTTCCTTGTGTCCTCAAGTGTTTCTCATCCCTCCGTTTTTGGAGGCCCCAGTGGAGTCATTTCCATGACAAGAAAAACAGGAGTGAGGCCAGCGTCTGGTGGAATGCTGGCTCTGGGGGATGAGCAGCTGGTGTGCTGTGGTTTGGGGCTTGAGGGACTTAGAGAAGGGGTCACCTGGGAGAGGCCACAGGGAAGGAGGAAGCCAGCTCCCACGGGGGTGCTCCTGAGCTGGGTGAAGTCCGGAAGGAGAGGCACATGTAAGAAAATATTGGGAGGACACGAACTTCCTGTTTTCAGCCCTAGGGGCACCCACACTTCCTTCCACTTTTTGACTGTGGGGCTCTGGACAGTCTGGGCTAGTAAGTGCGGGAAGTGTCTGCCCAGAAGTTGGGGTGGGAGCCCTGGGGTGGTTGAGATCATCCGCGGAGAGAGACCAGAAGGCTTCAGACAGAAATATGAGAAAACCCTGGAAAAGGGATAGCCTGGCCCTGACCAAAGGAGTTAAAACCAGCTCAAATGGGGAAAGACAGCCAGCACAACTGAAGTTCTTCAGCTGGTCGGGAGGACAGATACAAAATTAAAAGGAAACCTCATTTCTCCCAAGGTCTTACAACGACTATACAATGTCATAAGGACCCATGCTTTCCTCCCATGATGCTCCGCGTCTGGTTTTGCTATTCCCGTCTAACTACTCAACCCAGCATCTAATTCCTAGCTAACACCCATACTGGGTGAAGGGCCCAAGCATGCGGGAGCGGCACGTCCTGGAAGGTCCTGGACACCACTGACCAGCATCATTGACCAGGATGTCACCAGACCCTTCCCCAGGCCCCTCCTACTCTGCACTGGGGTCCGTGAATAGTTGACCTCCCTCAGGCGCTCCACCCACCACCCTAGAGACACCTGGGAAGTGTTGTGTTGGGGAGCTGTTCCTGTCCATGGTTCTGAAATAGGGTCTCCAGAGGCTTCTGTCCCAGTTTGAGGTCAGGAGGGAAAAGGGGTGGGAATGGATGGAACCATAGGGGGAGCAGACCATCGGGAGTGGTGGAGTCTGGTCTACCACCTCTCCTCTTCTCTCTCAGGGATTGTATATCCTGAGGGTGAGGTCCGTCTGTCCCACCTGGCTGAGCCTCAGGCAGGAGGATGTTTGTGCTAAGGCTGTCTTCTGTCCTGCGTAAGCCTCCTTTCAATAAGCTTGCTTCATGCCAGCCTCACCCAAACGAACAAAATCTCTCAAAGTGAGAGGCTGGTCTTCACAGTTGAGGGTCAGAGTCACGGATATTAGACACTCTGCTTGGATCCCTTTCTCCAGTTTTGTCCACTCACCCCCATGCTTCTGGGCAGGGGAGGGGTAGTTTCTGGTCTGATGGGGAAGAGAAGCACTTCCTGGACTCTTATTCCTGGTTCTGATTGATTCCTCTTGCTGGACTCACCTGACAGTGTCAGAGGGACTTGGAGGGAAATGATTTTGATTCTGAGTCAGGATGTGGGAAACCACGGGTCTGAGTGTCTGTCCTCTGTTGGGCTAGTGACTGATGAGGTGCCCTGCTTCTATATTGTTCCCTACCGATTTTATTTATTTATTTATTTATTTTTTGAGAGAGAGAGAGAGAGAGACAGAGAGGAATGGAGAGAGAAAGAGACACATGGATGTGAGAGCAGGACATGGATCAGCTGCCTCCTGCACGGCCCCTACTGGGAATCGAGCCGGTCACCTGGGCATGTTCTCTGACCTGGAATCAAACCAGCAACCTTTCGGTGCACAGGACAGCACACAGCCAACTGAGCCACACCAGGCAGCGCCATTGGTTTGTTATTGCATGTGCCCAGCTGAGGCTGGAGCCCACAGCCTTGGCATAACAGGACGATGCTCTAACCCACTGAGCTACCGGCCAGGTTCCATGTGTACTTTTATTTAATCCTCATAGCAACCCTGCAATGTAGAACTTCTCATGCCTGATCACAGATCAGGAAATCAAGTCCCAGAGGGGTAAGGTGGCTCCAGGGGTGTCATATTCTTCTTAATCGGCAGAAAGAGGAGGAGCTTGCTCCCAGGTCTCTTTGACTGCAATGCCTGAGGTAGTTCCAATAGGTCAGGAACAGTAGTTTGTAAACCCACTGCCCATTGAGTGCTGTCCTGTGGGGATGTGAGGTCTCCAAAAATCAGCTGGTAGGTCCCCCTTCCCATGGAGGATATGGATGTTTCGGCCTCTCAGTGGGTCCTGACATTTGCGTATTCCGATTCGGGGCTCGTCTGAGGAGGTTTCTTCTCCTTAAAGCGGATGGAGGCATAATACACGTCTGGCTCCACCCTCAAGGCCGGGGTGGCCCCTGCAGGGCTGGTGGAGTCAGCCAGGCTGTCTGATTCAGGCGTCTTCTGCTGACCCTGTGTGGAGAGCAAAGAACAACGGGGTCAGAGCAGGGAGAGGGCAGGGGGAGGAGTCCCTGCAATGAATTTGATTGTAACATGATCTTTGTTCATCCTTCCATTTTAAAAAAATTATATATATATATAATCAAATATAATATATATATTTGATTTTTTACAGAGAGGAAGGGAGAGGGATAGAGAGCTAGAAACATCAATGAGAGAGAAACATCGACCAACTGCTTCCTGCACACCCCCTACTGGGGATGTGCCCACAACCAAGGTACATGCCCTTGACCGGAATGGAACCTGGGACCCTTCAGTCCGCAGGCCAATGTTCTATCCACTGAGCCAAATTGGTTTCGGCTCCATTTTTTTTTTAAGTAAAATTTTTAAATTTATGTTTTGTTAATCCTCACCTGAGCATATCTTTTTCCATTGATTTTTAGAGGGGAGAGAGAGAGAGAGAGAGAGAGAGAGAGAGAGAGAGAGAGAGAGAGAGACATTGTTGTGAGAGAGTCACATCTCTTGGTTGCCTCCTGCATGCACCCCGAATGGGGTGGGGATGGAACCTGTAACCCAGGTATGTTCTCTTGACCGAAAATTGAATCCACAACTGTGTGGGATGACACTAACACCGTCAGTGCATTCTTTCATCCTTTTATTGAATATTTCTCAAGGTCCCATTTATTCACTTATCCAACAAATACAGCTTTTATTGGTTGCTTTCCAATTCTACTGACCTTTGTGGGAAATACTATTATTTTACGGAGAAAGACAATAAGTCTCAGAGAAGTTAGGTACTTCTCAAGGTCACACATCTGCTGGTCATGAACTCCACCCCTGGTCTCTCAGAGCTCTCCTATGTGCCGACACTGGCTATACAGGGAGGTGTTTATGAAAAAGGACTTCTCCTGTGTGTCTCTCCTTTCCTCCCTTTAAAAAAGAACCCCCCCACACCCCTGCCGCCGAAACCGGTTTGGCTCAGTGGATAGAGCGTCAGACTGCGGACTGAAAGGTCCCAGGTTCGATTCCGGTCAAGGGCATGTACATTGGTTGCGGGCACATCCCAACTGGAGGGTGTGCAGGAGGCAGCTGGTCGATGTCTCTCATCGATGTTTCTAGCTCTCTATCTCTCTCCCTTCCTCTCTGTAAAAAATCAATAAAATATATTTTAAAAAATAAAAAGACACCCCCCCCCAGAAGGGAGGGCATGTATGGGTGGGGGAATGGTATATGTACAGAGATAATAATTTAATAAAAAAAATTTTAAAAGACCCCCCTGCAAGGATATGCTTTTATTGATTTATAGAAAGAAAGGAAGAGAGAGAGAGAGAAACATTGATGTGAGAGAGAAACATTGATCTGTTGCCTCCCGTATGTGCCCCAATCAGGCATCAAACCTGCCACCTTTTGGTGTGTGAGATGACGCCCTAACCAACTGAGCCACCCATCCAGGGATCTCCTTTTACTCTTATAAACCAAGCAATTCTCTGACACCAGCTGGGTGTCCTACAACTGGACTCAATTCTGACACCATCTACCTGAAGGTATTGTCAGATCCCCACAGGTTAAAGGCTCAGGCCCACCAGAACCCCCACCCCCACCGCCACTTCAGATGCCAATCACAAGCCCAGCTTGCCACCTGTGCTTCTGACCAACTGGCGGTAAATCAGAGGTTCCCATGATTCCCTCCTCACGTTCAATGAATTCACTAGAGTGACTCCCAGAATTCAGGGAGACCGTTTACCAGCCACAGAGCAGCTTGTGATGGAAGGATGTGACACAGGATACAGAGGAGCATCCCGATGAAGAGATGCATGGGTCCAGGTATGAGAGGAAGGGCAAGGAGCTTTTGTGTTCTTGCCAAGTGCACCATCCTCCCAGCGCCTCCGCAGGTTCACCAACTTGAAATCTCCCTCAGCCCCAGACTCGGCATTTTTATGGAGGGTTCGTCGTGTAGACAAGATCAATAATTAATTTCGTTTCCAGCACCTCTCCCCTCTCTGGACAATGGAGGATGGGGCTTAAACTTCTAATTATTGCTCAGTCTTTCTGGTGACCAGCCCCCATCCAGGAATCCACAAGAGTTGCCTCATTGCACTCTGGCTGGTGTGTTCAGTGGTTAGAGTGCCGGCCTGTGCTCTGAAGGGTCATGGGTTGAATTCCTGGTCAAGGGAAGGTACCTGAGTTGCAGGTTTGATTGCTGGCCCCCAGTCTGGCACCTAGGGGAGGCAATCAATCAGTGACCTATGGGAGTCAATCAGTGTGTCTCTTCCACCTCTCTCTCTCTCCACTCTTTCTAAAAAAAATCAATGAAGAAAATATCCTCAGGTGAGGATTAACAACAACAACAAAAATGTTGCCTCATAGAAAAAAAGAAAAGAAAAAAAGACCCTTGACTCCAGAGTTACTGCAACATTTCTCAAACAAGGCTTTTCACTTCCTCTTCCTCCATTCTCTCTTGAACACAACCCACTTATTAAGATATCTGCCTCTGTAAGGCCAGCAGATCTGCCTTTGTCCAGATCAGTTCTGATCCTACTTAGCTAAATTTAAACCAGTGGCTCCCAACATGGGGCACACGCCCCACAGGGGGGAAATTTGATTTAAAAAATATATATTTTATTGATTTTTTACAGAGATGAAGAGAGAGGGACAGAGAGCTAGAAACATCTATGAGAGGGAATCATCGACTAGCTGCCTCCTGCACCGCCTACTGGGGGAGTGCCCGAAACCAAGGTACATGCCCTTGACTGAAATCAAACGCAGAACCTTTCAGTCCACAGGCCGACACTCTGTCCACTGAGCCAAACTGGTTTCAGCAGAAATTTGATTTTAAAGGGAGTGCAATTTGAGAATGAGTTATTAACAGTGAAATTTTGCATTTCTTACGGTTATAGGGACCTCGTATTCAGTATATAAATATATAGTGTGACATATATATATATATATATATATATATATATATATATATATGCATTTCAGTTCTCTATTATATGTTTTGAAAGTCTATTTGCTATTTTTTCATGTCACTTCATATTATTGTTATTTTTTAAAACAACTTCTTAGGGATTTCGTCCTCAGTACTTCCACTGTCTTTTCATTCTTTATTTTTCTCTTTCACAGATGCCATGTTCTTTGGAAGCTTGTTTAGACCATTTAATGGCCTTTTAGGCTTCCTCCATGTGAATAGAAGTTAACTTTTTGAATAAAAAGAATTCTATGTCAGGGGGGTGGTAGGGCATCAGGGTTTTAGAGATGCTTAGGTGGGGCATGGCCAAAAAGCTGTCATTTCTCAGCTCCTATCTTACCAGACTTATTAGCATTTGAAAAAAGGTGAGCACTCTTTCCTGCTTGAAGTTCCATCCCCTTTGGCTACTAGGACCCAACCCTACACTCTCCTGGTCAAATTTTTTTCTTCAGTGATCTTTTTGCTCTTTTCACCACGTCTCCCTGACTCTTAAGTGTTGGGAGGCCCCAGGACTCTGTCTGCAGACCCCTTCTTTCCTTTATGGCTTCATCCACTATCAGACCTTTATGTGGAAGACTGCCAAATCTCCATGCCTCCCACCTGGACCCCTCTCCTGAACTCCAGACTCTGCCCATCTACTTGTCATCTTCATATAAACATCTCAGAAGTGCCTCAAACTTAGAGTAACCAAAACAAAATTTGATCACCTCTCAAAAACATACCTTTCTTGCAGTGTTGGCAATTTCAAGAATTGGTACTTCAATTCTTTAAGTTGCCCAGGGCAACCGCATTAGAGTCATTCTTGGTATCTATGGACATTTGTGGACATCTAGGACTATCTATGGTCCCCTATGACATCATTGGACATCCATGACATCCACGAATATATCCATGGCAATCAATGGACATCTCTGACCATCTTTGAATATCTATGACATTTCTGAACATCCATAATACCCTTAGAGTTATCTTTGACATCTATGGACTTCTATAAACATGTAAGAGCATCTATGACTACAGATGGGCCTCTATGACATCACTGGATATCTATGACATCACTGGATATCTATGACACCTATGAAGTAAAGACAGTGAGCTCACACACAAGCATATTCTAACATTCCTTTGGGAAATCCTGTTGACCCCACCTTCAGGATGTATCCAGACCCCAACTGCTTCACACCAGATTCATCACGCATGCCCTGACTAAGTCTGTTTTATGGGCTGAACGATGTCTCCCAAATTCATATGTTGAAGCTCTAACTCCCAATGTGTCTATATTTGGTGATAGGGCCTTTAAAGAGGTACTTAATTTTTTAAAATGGGATCATTAGAGTAGGACGCAACATGATTTAAATCTTTATAAAAAGAAGAGAGACCAGGAATGCATGGGCATAGGAAAAAGGCTATGAGAAAGCAAGAAGGTGGCCATCTGCAAGCTCGGGAGGGACATTTTACATTTGTAATGTAATAACTTGTAAAAATACAGATATTGACAAGTGGGAGATACTGGCCGAAGGAAAATATACAAAAGCATGGGTGATGGCTGATCGTGCGCTCAAAAACCTCACAGTGGTATCCACATAAGTTAGAGTTCAATGAGAGTCAGAACTTGGAGGATGAGCAGGAACAGGGCGGGTTGAGGCAGGCATGCGAAGAGGAAGGGACAGCCGAGCGATGGTTCTGAGATGCAAAAAGCTTACTCTGCTGAGGCCAGTGAGCAGGTGAGTGCGGGAGGCACAAAGCATGGAAGGTGACTGGTTTTTCCTGCCTCAAATGCCAGACCAAGTTGTCTGGGTGCTTGGCAGTGTGGAGAACCAGTGCATTTCAGACTTGGGTGTGATGGGGAGGAGAGGTGGGAGGCTGCAGCAGACATGCTTTGCAGTGTATTAGTGCAGAAGAGCTGGTGGAGGACTGAGAAGGACAGGGATGAGCCTCTGGTTGGATATCAGGGACAAGAATACCAATGGTGAGATGGAGAGCCCAGCAGAAGTATATTTGGGGGTTGTATTAACCGTGTGCATTATATATCTATATCTATATCTATATCTATATCTATATCTATATCTATATCTATATCTATATCTATATTTAAATATATTTTATTCAGGTTTTACAGAGAGGAAGAGAGAGGGATAGAAATCTAGAAACATCGACGAGAGAGAAACATCTACCAGCTGCCTCTTGCACACTCCCTACTGGGGATGTGCCCACAACCAATGTACATGCCCTTGACCGGAATCGAACCTGGGACTCTTCAGTCTGCAGGCCGATGCTCTATCCACTGAGCCAAACAGGCTTCGGCTGCATTTTATATCTTGATGTCTGGGGCTTTGGTAACCCTAGAGAAACTGTCCCTGCCAGGATTAGCTAATTGCTAAAGATAGTAAAGGACTTGCCTGCAAGTGTGACTTTCATATTGCAAACCAGCCTGTCCAGTCCAAACTCCATACCTCCAACCATCTCCCTTATGGAAATCTTACACTTCTGACCAGTCCCCTCCTGCCCTGATCACACCAGGACCAGGGACCAGACAACAAGGGACAGCCCCATACATACCAGAGCCTGTTGAAATTATTCAAACTAGCTAGTCCTAAGCCTGCCTCCCCTGCCTCACCTCACCTCACCTTCCCCATGAAAACCACCGTCAAGGTTCCTGCCCCCGTTTTTCCGGTCCCTCCCTCTGCCTCCTGACCGACCCTGGTGCTGCCCTGTGTGGCCCTGAGGTGTGATGTTTCCCCCCTCTTCTCGGGAACTGTGAGGAACAAATTGTGGCAGTGGTCTCCTGATCTGTTGGCCTGACATGCCTGAATAACAGTAAAATCTTCATTTTCCCAAAAGAGTGGGAAGGTGAAGAGCTCGTTTCTGGACATGCTGAATGGAACAAAAAGGTGGGCCACCCAGGAAGTGGGGGCAGGGTTGCGTGCCAAGATGTCCATGTTACTCACCAGGGAAGCTGGCCCTGTGGCAGGGTGGATGTTGTCCATGCCCATCGCTGCCCTGGCTTTCTTCCTGCGAGTCTTCACTCTGTTGGGAGTTGCCAGGGTCTTTGACACAGGGTCACTCTTTGAGGCTGGAGTGAGTGCCAGGGAAGATCAAGGGTGGGGCAAGACCAAGAGCCTTCATAACAAGACTTTGGAACAAGGTCTTCCCCCACCACCACCCCTCCTCCCACCAACTCAAGCGTGGCTCAGTGGCTACCAGCTAGATTCTCACCACCACAGCACCCCTCACCCTTGCTCTGGGCCCTCACCACCCCTCCAGGTCCCTATTCTCCAGCTCTGGCCCACACCTGTCCCGTCTCACACAAAATAGATGAGGCAGAGGCAGCCAGCCAGCAGTGCAGTGATACCGGCTCCCGCGACGGCCGCCTGAACCACGTCTGCCTTCGTCCTCAGTTCCCCTGCAGACAAGAGGGACCTGGGTGAACTCCAAGCTCGAGGAGCAGGCATGTGTCCCCTCTTCTCAAGCATGAAGAGGTGGGTGCCCCTCTCCTCCATCCAGGGCTGAGCAACTGGGTCCTCCAGAAGCATGGGGTGAAGGGCATGGTCAACGTGACATCTCCTATCCAGTCCCCACACACCTCATCTTTTCTAGGACCTGGGTACTTCTCCATCTAGGGTTTCCCTGCCACAGACCTGAAACCTGGCTGCAGCAGGACCTTGATCCTCAGAGTCCCATGGGCACTCCAGAGAGAGAGAGACACACACACACAGAGCACTGTGGGATGCCGAAAGACCTGTCTCTTCTTTCTTCCTGGGAAGGTGTCAGAATCTTCTCTCCTGACCTGCATCACCACCCTTTGCCCACCATCCAGAACTGAAATACCATTGCTGACATGTACACTTGAGGAACTGTTTGACATTGAAATTGGGTCTCAAAAGAACTGGTGGCCCAGAAAGAAACTCACTACAGACTGATGCATATGCCTTTCAGCATAACGATTATTGCTTGTCTCATTTTTGATTCTTATAAGTATATCTCCAGTAGGACATGATCTCACTCATCTAGGGGAAATGGTGAACAACATAGACTGATCAACAACAACAGACCCAGAGATAAGGAGCCATGGGTCAGACTGTTGGACCTCAAAGGGAGGGTGGGGATAAAAGGGAGAGATCAACCAAAGGACTTGTGTGCATACATATGAGCCTAACCAGTGGTCAAGGACAATAGGGAGGTGGGGACATGAGTGTGGGGGGGTGGGGTATGGGAATGGGGGGTTGAGGACAAATATGCGATACCTTAATCAATAAAGAAAAAAATTTTTTTTTAAAGAATCTCTCCTGGCCTCCACTGTCCCTGTTGCTCAGGGTCAAAGGTGATCTTTTGTGCCTCCAGAGTCCAGAAGAAGGTGAAAGTGGGGAGATTCTCAGACCTACAGGTGAGACCCAACAGCTCTCCTGGTCTCGTCTAGCCATGCCTCCCAGGAACACAATGCCTGGCATCAGGGATGTGTCTCTGGGTATCACCTGTCACAGTCTGAACTGAGAGAGTCCTAGCAGAGTCACTGACCAGTGCAGGTGGGGACCAGATGCCATCACCAACAGGAATAGAGCAGGAGGAGGATGGGGTTCTAGAGACAGGTCAAGGTGAGGGCCAAAGGATGTTCAGGCAAAAAAAAAAAAAATAGAGATTTTCAGAGAAGTGAAACTGCCTTACATAATACTATCATGATGTACACATGTCATTGTACAATGTCCAAGCCCATTGAGTGTACAACACACAAGAGTAAACCATAATTATGAGTTTTGGTGGACAATGGTGTGCAAATGTCCCCTCTGGTGGGGGATGTGCGTGGGAGGGAGGGTGTGAGAGGTTTAGGGGAAATCTCTCTACTTTCTGTCTCCTGCTTAATATTTCTGTGCAGTTATGGCTGCTTCTATAAAGTCTACTCAAAAATGCTCCAAGGCATTTGTAACTGGGGGAAGATAAAGAGCATCTGTAGGGTGGGCGGGGAGGCTGTGGTCCCTCTGGGCAGAAAGTGGTCGGAGGGTATTGGGGAAGAGGTCAGATAGGGCTGCTCATGTTTAACTGCACCCACACCTCCCTGCTGAACTCTGAAGTCCAGCTCTGAATCGACCAGACAGAGACCCACGTCAGTCAATGCCCCGTGGCAGAAGGCTCCTTCCCACCTGCACCGTCTCCCAGGCAATCACCTGCTGTTGGGTTCTGCGAAGCACCTAGGACAGGAAGAAAGGAATTCCTTTCTCAGTGGACTGAGTTGGAGTAAGGGTCATTTAGGCATTTCAACATCCACCCTCAGAGACCACGGAAATGCAAGAGGGACAGGGCTTTGTGCTCTAGGTCCCCGACACAGCCAGGTCCCCAGGACAAAGCACACAGCACCCCTGCCAGGCCCCCTGCTCTGCACACCCTCAGAAGCCTGGTGCTCCGACCCAGAACTCACAGGTGACATTGAGCTGGATGGTTCTCTCCATGGTGACACCAATGGCAGGAAAGTGCACCTGACAGGTGAGGTTGGTGCCGTGGTCCTGGGGCCGTGGGGTGAGGGTGAGCACGGAGGAGAGGCGGGTCCTGGGGCCCAGGGAGCTGTGGGCAGCTGAGTTCCAGGAGAAGGTGGGGGGCGTGCCCCGCTCACAGGCCCAGGGCACAGAGCAGGTCAGGTTCCTGGGGCGGCCACACTCCAGGGTCCCCGGGATGTGGATGTCAGGTGTGTGGTTGAGGGCTGGAGAGGAGGGGAGAGAGGGGATCAGGAGGAAGGGTCCCAGGTGCAGTCCTGAGAGAAGCCTTGTGCTTTGGATCAGCTCCTCTCTCTGAGCCCAACACACTGCACCCCGACCCCCTCCCAGGATGGGGCCCATCCCAGCCCTGTGAGGGGCCATCATAACTTCCCCTGAGACCTGTCCTGGAGCCCGTTCCTTACCTGTCACATGCACGGAGAGCATGTTCTCTGTGTAAGAATATTTTTCTTTTAGGTAATTTATTCTCTCCACCCGAAAAAAATATGATCCCTCATCTGTCCTCTGGGCGTCTCTGATGTCCAGGGAGCAGTTTTTGGTCTGCGGATCCCCGAGGAGGTGGAATCGGCCCTGGGTCTCCTCCTGCACTTTACGAAATGGGTTGTTTGTGGCCACAGCAGCATCCTGGAATTCCTTAGCTCCTTCTGGGAACCAGTAGCCATATGCAGGAGAAGGATAATTCCACCGGTGGGTGAAGGTGCAGGGCACAAACACGCACAGGCCCTCCTGCACCGTCACGGGCGTCAGCACTGTCAGTGTGTAGAAGCTTCCACGCTGAGCCAGGGACCCTGCAGGGAAAGGAGGTCAGCAGCAGTCCCTGACCCACTGCCCCTAGCCCCTCAGGCACTCACCTGCCCAAAGCAGGGCCAGCAGCCACAGCATCTCTGATATGGAGAGTTTCTGGGCTCCTGTGGGTGGAAAAGGAATGAATACAGTGGGAGGAGGGACCGTGGTGAGACCACGGAAGCTGGGGAGGAGCCCAAGATCGGAGCCGTTCACAAAAGAGGAACTTCAGAGCCCAAGTGCTTTCCCAGTCTGCACAGAACAGGCAGACACCCCTTAGCCCAGAGACCTAGGACAGAGAAGGACAGACAGAAAGCCAACCCATAGTCCTTGGGTCTTCTCTGCGGCTCCAGAGCAGAACCAGGACCTCTGAGGACATCTGAGGAGGGGACACGGGAGTCTCATAAAGTCCTCCCGTTAGGGCTGTAGTCAGCAAACGGCAGCTCTCGAGCCACATGTAGCTCTTTGGCCCCTTGAGTGTGGCTCTTGCACAAAATACCATGGCCTGGGCGAGTCTATTTGGAAGAAGTGGCATTAGAAGAAGTTTAAGTTTAAAAAATGTTTCTAACTCTCTATCCCTCTCTCTTCCTCTCTGTAAAAATCAATAAAATATATTTGAAAAACACATACACCTGGAGACTGATAGGAAGGGTGAGGTCATGAGAGGAGCTGACCCAGCTTCCATGGGCTGTAGGCTGAGAGAGAGGAGGGATCTCTTGACTACTGGAGGGTATTTTCCATTAGATGATTGAGGCAAAGAAAAACACCAAAAAACAAAAACAAAAAAACACACAGATCATGAACCTGGTCTATGTCTCTAAGAGACTCCCCACCTAGTGACACCACTTCCTCCCAGCCACAGTGCTGTCAGGCTTTAGAGCTGTGGTCACTCGTGAGTCCACCATGTGACCTGGTAGCATGCTGGGTATTTTCTGAAAACACAAGTGCGGGTTCCTATTTAACATCTTGTTCTGATTCCCGGTGTTTCAGTGATGGCATCTCCAGAGGGAAAACCATAACACAAAGGGAGACCATGTGTTCCCTGAGCCAGGGCAGAAACCTCTTCCTTAATGATTCCCGTCACTCAGAGCGCATGAACGGGCCACACTGTCTCAGTTCCTCATCACGCAGATGAGCGTTTCCTGTCACAGAAAAATGCTGCAATGTTGTGGGTGAACAGTGAGCTCACATACTTCTCTTATATTAAGCAAAGCTCTTTCCAGATGGGGTACTTTTCTCCCAGTCTTTAGGGGTAAGATGCTATTTGCCTTTCAAATAAGCCACATACTCTCTTGTGTCAGCAAGAGTTCACAATTTCCTTTATGCCTGGACTGCTGGGGATCCTAGGGGTATAGCTAGACTTAATTTCAGAAACAGGTGTTATTCTAGCTCCCTGGTACAATGTTGTCTTTCTTTCTAAGCGATTTCTCCTCTGCCTTAAAAAAGTTGCTACCTTGCCGAAACCGGTTTGGCTCAGTGGATAAAGCATCAGCCTGCAGGCTGAAGGGTCCCAGGTTCAGCTCTGGTCAAGGGCATGTACCTTGGTTGCAGGCACATCCCCAGGGGGGGGGGGGGTGTGCAGGAGGCAGCTAATCCATGTTTCTTTCTCATCCATGTTTCTAACTCTCTATCTCTCTCCCTTCCTCTCTGCAAAAAAATCAATAAAATACATGTTTAAAAAATTGCTACCTTATTAGTGCTATTAAATGGTAATCATCTCAAATTCTAAGTTGGACTATGAGGGCTCTGATTTCCACATGAAATAAAAATATATAAGATTGATAAAAAAATGTGCTTCTCACAGTAAAATGTGGCTGCAAGAATATAAATTTTTAGGAAATATGAGTGGAATATGCAGATACAATTAAAATTTAGGTTCAGCTCATAAGTTTTCCATTTGAGTCTATGGATATGCATCTGGCAAATTCTTGATCCTGGTGACATAATATGATTTGCCGCCAGATATTTGTACAATCTTTCCAACACAGTAGTATCTAGATAGAAGGGCCTTCAGTCTTACTAATACAGAGAGGCTTTTGTGCCCTCATTTGGTGGATAAGAAATTGAGTTTTGTCCTGGCCAGGGTAGCTCAGTTGTTCAGAGGTCGTCCTGATACAGCAAAGTTGTGGGTTTAATCCCAAG